AACATTGTTTAAAATAGCAAAAAAAAAAAAAAAAAAGTGGGCATGGTGGCTTCTGCCTATAATACCAGCACTTTGAAAGGCTGAGGAGGAGGATCACTTGAGCCCAGAGTCGAAGACCAGCCTGGGCAACAAAGTGAGACCCCATCTCTACAAAAAAAATTAGCCAGGTGTGGTGGTATGCTCCTGTGGTCCCACATATTTGGGAGGCTAAGGCAGGAGGATCACTTGAGCCTAGGAGGTTGAGGCTGCAGTGAACCATGATCATACCACTGCACTCCAGCCTGGGCTACAGAGTGAGATGCTGTCTCAAAAAAAATTTTTTTTGTTGTTTTCGAACAAAAATACAAATATCCAGGATCAGAGGACTGGTTAAATTATGATACCAACAGAACCACATATTTCTTCTAGGGGCTAATTTTTATGTTAAATCCAGAAGAGGAAAAACAAAAACAAATAGTGGAATTAATGAGGGATATTTTTGGAAAAGGTCGGGGAATTAAGTCCAAAATTATTTCCGGTGAAACACTGACTTGAGGCCTTCATCTGTAATAGGATGGTTGAGAGGAGTGATGGTATTCAAAGGGAAGTCATCTTTAATGCTGACGTGAAAGGATCAGTATGATCAAAGTCTTTTCAACAGACACATATTTTGCTACAAGCATTTCAGGAATATTTGCAAAGTATAGGAGGTTTGGCAGAAACTGGTGTGAAACAGCAAAACCAAGTACAATATGTACTTTCTCCCAGAGAAGACATTCTGCAGCCACCACCTGAATGCCATTCATCTTTCTCATCGACGACATTTGAGACTGTCTATGTTGTTGGCCCTTATTCATCATCCTTAATTATTTCCGTGTCTTTGACCTCTTGCTCCGGGTTATAGTATAACCAGAAATTTTCTTCAGCCCCCTATTAAATCAGAGTCCAAGAGCAGAATAAACTCAAAGTCTATCAGCCTTTTAGTTATAGGAGGTACAAAGTTTAATCATTCTCAGACACAGCACTGTGATAGCTTCCTTTTGCAGATGAATTGTTCAATAATGTGTTTGAGGAATGTCAAACAATTTCCTAAGTAAGAATTGTGTGTTAATTTGTCTCAGTTTTGTCCTTCCCACCCTTCACAGGCAAGTAAGCACTTTTTTTTTTTTTAAGACAGGATCTGACTCCATGGCTCAGGCTGGAATGACGTGATCATGGCTCATTGCAGCCTAAATCTCCTGGGCTCAAGTGATTCTCCCACCTCAGCCTCCCAAGCAGTTAGGACCATAGGCATACATCACCATGCCTGGCTAATTTTTAAAATTTTGTAGAGACAAGGACTTGCCCAGGCTGCTGGCAAACTCCTGGTCTCCGGTTATCATCTATCTTAGCCTCCCAAAGTGTTGGGATTATAGGTGTGAGCCACCATGCCTGGCTCGATTATATGCAGGCATACTGTAGCCTGCATATAAGAAAAAAAAAATTCAAGGAAAATTTTGTTTTGCTAAGCATAACCTGTTTTACAACAAATTGCATTTTTTGGAGGCATCATCCTTAAATTTACCTGCATATTAATTTATCCATTTGGATTATTTTCTATTTAAGATTTTCTGGCCAGGCGCGGTGGCTCATGCCTGTAATCTCAGCACTTTGGGAGGCTAAGGCAGGCAGATCACAAGGTCAGGAGTTCGAGACCAGCCTGGCCAACATGGTGAAACACGGTCTGTACTAAAAATACAAAAATTAGCTAGGTGTGGTGGCCGCCGCCTGTAATCCCAGCTACTTGGGAGGCTGAAGCGGGAGATCGCTTGCTTGAAACCGGAGGTGGACGTTGCAGTAAGCCAACATCAGCCCACTGCACCCCAGCCTGGGTGACAGCCACTGCACTCCAGCCTGAGCAACAGAGCTAGACTCCATTAAAAAAAAAAAAAAAAAAAAAAACGTGGTGAGAATAAGATTAGAATGAAATTCAGTTTTTGCTTAGATCCTGTTTCATGGATGTCTGACTCTACTTAAGAAGGTGTTGGGGATACAGAATCTAAGCACTAACGGTCCTCGGAGGTCTTCTGGAGAGAAGTTTCCCTGTCCATTTTCCTTAGGAATCGTCTTTATGATACCCTCTGTGTGCAAAGAAACCCACAATGGAGCCTTCCATTCAGGAAGGTGACTGCAGGCAAGTAACTGAGCCTCCATTTCCTGACATGCAAAATGCAGGTAATTGACTTGCGAATACATAGAATCCGGTACCAGCCTCGCAATGACAAGAGTCCCACCTGTACTTTATCGTTTCCTAGCTGTGTGGACCGTCTACACCGGGAAGTCCTTAGCTTCACGGAGCCTCCGTTTCTCTTCGGTAACATGGTTGTAATAACATCTACCTCCCAAGGCAGATGTGACAAGTAAGCGGAGTAATGGATAGAAAATGCCTAGCAAGGCCGCTCGCAGTGGCTCACGCCTGTTAATCCCGGCACTTGGGGAGGCCAAGGCAGGAGGATCGCTTGAGCCGGGGAGTTCGAGATCAGCCTGGACAACACAGTGGGATGCTGTCACCGTGAAAAGTCAGCTGCGCGTGGCGGCGCGTGCCCGGCAGGCCGAGGCGGGCGTGTCCCTTGCGCCCAGGAACAGTGAGGCTGGGGTGACATCGGGCCACAGCACTCCAGCCTGGGCAACCGAGCAAGACCCTTTCTAAATAAATATCAACATCAATCAATAAATAAATGGATTTTTAAAATGAAAGACTTATTCTGGAGGATTGGCTACATGGTGCAATCAAATAAAACGAAAATCCAGGGCTTCTGCAGCGGGCAAATTGCTCAGCAACTCCAGCCAGACCCCGCCTCCAAGCAGCAAGCCCCGCCCCCCGGCGCGCACGCTCGGCACCGCCCCGACGCGCCTGCGCAGGCCGCGCTTCCGGCGGCCGAGGCCATGCGGGTGCTGGTGCGGCGCTGCTGGGGGTCCCGGCCGGCTCGCGGCGCCAGGCCTGGGGGGCCGCGTCCCCAGTGGCGAGCGCGGGTCGGACTCGGCGGGGAGGACGCCCGGGACGCCAGAGTCCGCGAGAAGCCGCCCTGGAGGGTGCTCTTCTTCGGCACGGACCGGTTCGCCCGCGAGGCGCTGCGACGCCTGCACGCCGCCAGGTATCCGGGCCAGGGATCCGGGAGCCCGGCGGCTGAGGGCGCCCAGGGCGCGCCGGGACGGCCGGCCCCGAGGGTGTCGGACTTCCGGTCGCGGAAAGCAGCGGCGCCGGAGCGGTGTGTGCCCGGGTCTCGGCGTTCCCCGGCGCCCGGAAGTTGCGCCGCACCCGCGGGTCAGCCTTGGGGCGCCCCGGCCCTGCCCCGCCGCCCCGGCCGCCCCCGCCCCGCCGTCCCCGCCGCCCCTGTGGGTGCTCCAGCGCCCCGCGACCCCCGCAGCGTCGAGCCGGGGCCAGGCGCCCTGCCTGCACACCTCGGGCTAGCCCCACGGCGCCTGCGCGTTTTGCGTGTGGGGGTCCGGGGCTCAGGGGCTCCGGCTGCCCAGGGTCGTCGGCAGAGGTGGTGGGACCGAGACCGGGCCCCGCTTCGGTGTCCCGCCTGGCAGCGCCTCCCCGCCCCGCAGCCTTCCACACACCCTGCCTCGCTCCTTTCCCCTGTGCTCCTTGTGTTCAAGGACGTCGTCCAGGAACGAGCCGTTTTCAAAGGAGTAGATTCATACATCGGAACTGTTGGGTATACGCGTAGTGTTGATCATAGCTGACAAGTCTTGTTTGCTGGGAAAGTATGTGAAATCCAGCCAGTCCTGCGAGCCTGTGGCATGTGGCGGCAATGCCCTGTACCCTTCTCTGTCGCTTTCCCAGTTAATGTGTGTTTTCCCCAGCCTGCTTTTCCCGGCGCAGTCCCCCTTCCGCCTATTTTGTCACGTCCCTCTCCTCTTCCCTGCAGATACTCGACAGCAGCTCTCCAAGTATTGAATCTTTCGTCAGCCCCGTGTGGTTTTTCTCCCTCCACACACCCGGAAGGAAACTCCAGGATCCTTTTGCTGCCCCCTGCGCTGCCGCTGTCACATGCGTCTCACTGCGTTTATACATTTATACCAACACTTTTTTTTTTGAGGCGGAGTCTCGCTCTGTCACCCAGGCTGGAGTGCAGCGGCCAGCTCACAGCCCACTGCAGCCTCGGCCTCTAGGATCAAGCGATCCTCCCACCTCAGCTTGCAGAGTAGCTAGGACTACAGGTGTACACCCCCATGCCTGATTTTTCAATTTTTTGCAGAGGCCAGCTTTCACCGTGTTGCTCGGGCTGATCTCAAACTCCTGGGATCAAGCAATCCTCCCACCTTGGCCTCCCAAAGTGTTGGGATTACAGGCATGACCCATCATTCTGGCCTATCCTGACACTTCTGATGATGCTTCACTTGGCAGCTCCATCACTCTTGTGCTTTCTTTTTAGTGTTCGGGACATACAGGCATTGATTGATTTACAACCTATGCAACTTACGACCATTCGACCACAATCAATCGCTAGCCACGACTGCTCCGCGTCTGGCAGCGCAAACTTTGCGTAGCTGGGCGTACGACAGTGCGGCCCAGCTTCCGGCAGCACTACCATCTCCGCGTGCATATAGCCTACTCAACTTACGACCAGTCGTGTTATGACCGGTCTGTCGGAACCAATCGTGGTCGTAAGTCGAGCACTAGCTGTACTCCTGTTCTCGTAGCTCCTCTACGTGTGCACAGGATACCTGTTTAATAAATGTACCCCCCCTGGGCAATAGGATACTGTGCAGCAGGTAAAAAGGATGAGGTAGTGCTGCGTGTACTACCATGGAATGATGCCCATAGTATATATTTTTGTTTTTTTAAAAATAGTGTTTGCGGGCACGGTGGCTCACGCCTGAATCCCAGCTACATAGTGGGATTTGGGAGGCCGAGGTGGGTGGATCATCTGAGGTCAGGAGTTTAAGAACAGCCTGGCCATCATGGCGAAACCCCATCTCTACTAAAAATACAAAAATTAGCCGGGTGTGGTGGCACACACCTGTAATCCCACCTACTCTGGAGGCTAAGGCAGAAGAATTGCTTGAACCCAGGAGGTAGAGGTTGCAGTGAGCCGAGGTCCCGCCACTGCACTCCAGCCTGGGTGACAGACCTCCATCTCAAAAAAAAAAGGTGTTTGAATGGCTTCATGGTTATGGTAAAAAATTCCATGGAGTCAAAGGACGTACAGTGAAAAGTTGCTTCCTTCCACCTCTGTTTAGCAGTTCCTAGTTCCTTTATCCAGAGACAGCCACTGTTTTCAGTTTCTTCTAGAAATGTTCAGTGCAATACAAGCTTATGTGTATTTAACCCGTTTTTCAAAAAGATTCACATAGTAGTATATATAGCATTGTTAAGAGGAAAAAAAACCTCAAAGCAGTATGTAATAACCCAAGCACAAAGTATCCATACTGTATATGTTTCTGTATGCACAGGAAATACCTAGAATGATACTGTCCAAATAGTAGCCACTAGCCACATACCGCTCTTTACATTTAAAATAAGGAAAAAAAAGAAAACCCAGGCCAGGCACGGTGGTTCATGACTGTAATCCCAGCACCTTGGGAGTCCCTGGCGGGTGGATCACTTAACGTCAGGAGTTCAAGACCAGCCTGGCCAACATGATGAAATCCTGTCTCTACTGAAAAATGCAAAAAATTAGCCAGATGTGGTGGCGGTCACCTGTAATCCCAGCTACTCAGGAGACTGAGGCAGGAGAATCACTTGAACCCCGGTGGCAGGGTGTGCAGAGGTTGCAGTGAGCTGAGATGGCTCCACTTCACTCCAGCCTGGGCGACAGAGTGAGACTCCCATCTCAAAAAAGAAAAATGAAAGGCCGGGCGCGGTGGCTCAAGCCTGTAATCCCAGCACTGTGGGAGGCCGAGGCGGGTGGATCACGAGGCCAAGAGATCGAGACCATCCTGGTCAACATGGTGAAACCCCGCCTCTACTAAAACTACAAAAAATTAGCTGGGCATGGTAGCGCGTGCCTGTAATCCCAGCGACTCAGGAGGCTGGGGCAGGAGAATTGCCTGAACCCAGGAGGCGGAGGTTGCG